TGAAAGAGTTGAACACTTTGAGTCAGACGATCTTTATGCTGCCATCGCAATTTTGTAAGGCACCAGAGAAAAATGCATCATATTATCTTTGAATTTCAGTCTGCTTTTGCTTCCCACAGTAATCAATAAGTATTAGAATTATTGGTGGTATCTGTCTAGATAATTTTAGGGCTTTTCCAGAAATCAAAATGCATAAACTAGAATAGTCATCTTGTAACTTTTTCCTTTCCTTTTTAACTCTGGCAAATCCAGAATTACTTTGAAGAACAGGGAAAACCTGTCAGTAGGGAAGCAGGGTGACAAGGAGTTGACACCTAGCGAAACAGATCCAGTAGTTAATATTGGAATAAAAAGTTTGAGGCCCGAACAAATTCCCTTTGCAGCCTGGAAAAGTGATAGTAATTGAAAAATTAGTTCTATCCATGGGTCAAGTTACTAGAAATTTTACGATTATGTTAAAACCCCAGGTCACGAGCTGAAGCCAAGCATTGAGTACAATTTATCTTCTCTCCAGCAAAAAGGGAAGGACTTTCCTGCAATTTCACAGTATGTATTTTGCATTAGAGGTGGGTACCTGGCAGCTTAGGAGCCCTGGCTGTAAGAAGCGAAGGAATACAGCAGGCCCTGTGGCCAGGACTGCAGCTTGAGCACAGTTTGGCAGGGAGCAGGCAGCTGCCTGTGTCTTTTGGCTCCTGAGGAGCAGGGTGCTGTTAGCATGTGTGGCTGGACCTGTTGCCCGCCTCTGATTGCTGCTGGTGTGATGCACTGGGGAGAGGCAAAAGGGAATACTCAGTGGGTGGCTGTCAGACAAGATTGCCAGGAATGGGCATCCCTCTTCTTCAGCCATCTGCATCACACCTTCCTGACCTACACTGGGGATTGACAGGGCAGAATCCCAAACAGAGAGAGATGGACTAGGACCTTCAGGCAGAGAGAGAATGGGGTTGAGTCTGAGGAAGAAATCAGTTTGAGCAAATTAGCAGTGTTGTTATGGATCAGCCTAACCTGTACAGACACCAGGAGCCAAGTAGTGTAGGGGGAGGATGCCATCAGAAGGGAGATCTGTGTGCGAGCAGCTCTTGTAAGATTAGTTTAAATAGCTCAAGTGCACAAGAGGTTTCCCCCTCATATTTCAGAGTGGGGACCACCAGTCTTAAAGATAAGAATGAAGTCTGATTTAAAATGCTGACTTTCATAACTTTTAAAATCTATGCTACGATTTATTTTCTGGTAGATCTTGGAAACCTGTATATTACCTGTCAAGCTGTCATAAGTAATTATATGTTTGTTAACTTCTTCCTAATAAACAACAGGAAATATTCATGATGAATTTCATTTTTTCCCTAAAAAATATTTAATAAGTACTTTGATTAAATATTAAAGCTTTCTTTTGCTGTTACAACTAGAGAGAAAATCCTGAATATCAGCAAAATATCTTTGCACAATGTTTTTACTACCTGCTCATTATGCTGGACTTTATCGATTGCTAACATAATTGATCAGGGTAATTTCTACATGGTCAGGTGGAAGTGATGTGAGTGGCTGTTTGCTGACTCGGCAAACTGAAACCTCTTTCATACTGAAAATTGGACTTTCTGTGGATAGACAGGATTGCCTGGCCTTGGGGAACAGTTGACAGTATTGCATTTCCCATTGGGCAAAAGGGATTACTGAGATAAAGGAAACTTACAGCCAGAAAGATCTTATGTGTTTTCCTGTCTCTTTTTGCTTTACCGAGTGCCTATGCCCAGGGCAGCGATACGGGGTGTCAGATAATGACTGAGAGCAAAATGAGTCTCCCTCAATTCTGGTATGTGTGGGGGGAGAACTCAGAAGGTGTTGGATGAATGGAAGGAACTGAATCAGTTGTCCGGATATGCCTTGCGCTTATGGAACGGTAGTTGGCTGTAACAGAACTGACAGGTGGTTCATCAAACATGAAAAGAACCTAATTTATTCCAGAAGTCAAGCCTGCCTGCTAGAGAAATTGTAATCGGAGCCTGTACAAGAGCTAAGGGAGCTTTAATGGCACTGCTGAAACCATAATGTAATATCCAGGTTGAAATCATTCCATCTTTATCTCATTATGAGTACAATTTTCTTCTATGTGTGAAACTTAAATGTCAAATTGAGGAAGTGGAGGGAACATAAACAAAAGACCGTGGGCATATTCTATTGTTCCTTTAGAGGGACTGTAGGAGCTACAGAAGGCTGTGGAAAGATGCTCCAAGCAAAATTGGGGAATAAAGGCTTCCAAAAACTTCCCACTTTTAGTAAGAGCTTCTTTATCTGTGCTGGAAGAAAGAAGTTCCCGGGAGGATTGTCTATCATTACTACATTCTGCTTCTTTAGAAAAGAGAACTTGTGAATAAGTGCTGCTTATGTGATCCATTAAGAATGTGTGTATCTCTCAGTGAGCAGTAAGTAGGGAGCTTGTACACTAGAAGCACAGTTGCTGTAGTAGCAGGTACTTAAGAGAAGGTATTTAAGTTCTGCTGCATGCTGAGTTAGTTGGAAGCTGCCGGAGATGTGCCGCTTGTTAGCGGTACAGGCACTGCGTCAGTGTAAGCTGCCTTGTGTGCAGTCACAGTGCACATATAATATGTTTTCTACACGGACAAGGGGCAATGCAAATACACTTCCCGGTTCTCCATGGCAAACCATATCAGTGCTGTGTGTTCGGCCTTTAATTTCTAGAGCTCAATACTGTTAGTTCTGAAACAGGAGTGTAAACACGGAGAGCTAGAAGGATGATGTGGACTGTGTGTGGAAAGCCTGTAGGGGCTGAAAGCAGTTCTTGGGTTTTTTTTTCCTTTCTTCCTAATGCTCCAGGATGCAGGCAGTCGATAGACTGGCAATTGCCCCAGAATCTGCTCTGTTTTCACTCTCACTGTGTTTTGTCACTGGTTTCTGATGCTTGTCTTTGGAGGGCTGAAAGGGTCTCTTTGATTGCTGGGTAGTGGAAACAGTAGGAAGTAATTTAAGAGCAAAAAGGTGTTAGTCAGCAAGAAACTCAGCACTAAGAGGCATCTGAGTCTTCATTGAGTCATATGTAAGATTTAGAGCATGGCTTTCAAGTGTAACTCAAACATCAAGTATTGTCTCACCTAAATGTTCTTTTGCATCCCTTTTCGTCATGTACTCATACACTTTCTTTTTTCCTTTTTCTCTGCTTTGAACTAACTGGACAAATGCTGTCTAAAAAATGATGTGAAATTTCAAGGAAAACTATTTCTCAAGAAACAGTGTGATTTTTACTGTCAGTTCCTGGCAGGTTATTCCATATGGAATTATTATGGTATCTTGGCACCACAATTGATACATTTAATAATTTTCATTATATGTTTGGGTCCTTTTGATGTTTGATTATTACATTTAAAGAAAGATTATAAGGTATATTTGCCTTTGAACATATGAAAAACACAACCTTCCCTTTCCAGATGCATTCATTTTAAGTCTGTTTAGCATTCACTAAATCTGTGGTTATTCCTTTCTTCTTTTGAAATGCACTTATTGTTCTATTTCAAGAATGAATCATGTTCTGTTGCTACCCCAAAATCTAGCATAACAAAAATGGTAAAAATGATTGCCTGTAATTTATTATTATAGGCAATCCAACCTGCCAAAACAAAATTGCCATTTAATAAGGTGGTTTTTGAAATGAGCTGTGTGAATGCTCAGTGCTAACTGAAATTGCCCACAAATTCTATATTTAAAAAAAAAAAAAAAGTTTCCTTTTAAGTGTCCACATTTTACTATATGTGACAGAAAATCCAATGGCATATCTTCCCCTCTCTATGTCAGTTCTTGCAGTCTCCACGGGCATTTAGATCACTCTGATGTCAGACTTGGATAAGATGGTATTTATATTACATATTTGGATATGTCCAAGGCCATATCCAAAAGATAGTACATTAAAGCTGTATTTCAGGAGGAGGGAAATCCTGTCATTGCTTACAGTGTTTCAGCAGAGGACTTTTTATGTGAATGTCATTGTTTCCATTTTATGATAGAAAGAATTTAAGGAGAAAGAAAATATGAGATACTTTGGGGTATTTTTTTCAGCAATACGTGAAGTCCCTTCACCGGGAAATTCATATGGAGAAAATTAAAAGGAGCCAGCAACCTATCCAGTGCTCAGTCCCAATGCTTAAAAATCTGACAGATTTCTTCTTGAGGCAGAGCAATTACAGACAATAATAAATAATTTTGGGATATTTTGGTAATATGGAAAAAAAAAAAAAAGAAGTGTAAAGGGGTCAGCAAGTCTGCTTCTTTGAAGACTACTTTAATCTATTTGATTATAGAGACTTTTGGTATGGGGGTTTGATCTTGAAATACTGCAAGGCAGTGGAAAGTTGAGGAGACAAGAAGCTGTTAACTGCTCAGACTTCTGGCTCCAGCTCCAAAGAGCATTAACGAAAAGCAAGGGCTCTCATCTGGAAACATAACTCTCTTGCCCCAGTAATGAATAATGCAGACTTGGAAAAAGTTCTCCATAACACTTAATTTACCTCTTTAAGTCTGACCCACTGCAGTCTATGTCATAGAATTGTAGAATCATAGAATAGTTAGGGTTGGAAAGGACCTTAAGATCATCTAGTTCCACCCCCCCTCCCGCCATGGGCATTGAACACAGGGAACTATGTCCATTTCCTGGGAAGGAAAGGGCAGAGAAACCAGGGTTGAGTTATCTTTGAAATTCTGCTGCTGAACCTTATTCTGTTGGCAAATAATTGCACAGTTTTGAGTTTCTTCAGCTGTACACACAGGTGAAGGTGTGTACCTCCACCCCTTGGAAGTTAAAAAAATCTCTATGAAAATCAGGATGCTTAGCTGCAAAACCATCAGACTTAGCGTCTGCTCCAAGTGTGTGCAGTTGTGATGCTTTACCATTATTTTGTATGAATTTTGTACCTAACTTTTATTCCCTCAAGCCTGAGGGAATGCTGACAGAGTGGTTGAACATGTAACTGATACAAACTTTTCTTTCTTAAAAGCACACAAAAGAAATTGGAAGGCCACAAACTCCTTTGAAAGAAGCAACCTTGGAGCCATGGACTCAGCCACAGGTAGGCTTGGAACAACTTTCCTGCTAATGTGTTTTCTGTAATGGTGGTTTCTGTAAACCTTAATAGAATTAAACTGGGTCTCTAAAGAAGTGCTGCATCAGGTAGTTCTGTGGCTCTTGGCATTGGATGTCAAAATGATTTGGTTTGCTGCCCAGATTATTGCTAATGTCCTATTAGTGGAAGACTCAATTTTTTTCTAAGGGAGAAATGCCAGGATTATTTTGCCTTCAGTTTATGTTCCTTCCATGCTTAAAGAACTTTGCAGAACTTTACAAAACCAAACATCCTTTCTGAAGGATGTATCGATAAATTGGGAGCCTCTCCTGGTGTAGAAATGATGGTTGTGCAAGACTTGTATTTTGAGAGGAAGGTTTGAAACATCGAACTGTTGAGGCGTACGGATGTAACTGAAAACAAAGCAATAGTTAATAATGCAAAAAGAGATAAGGAAATGGGGATATTAATATATAATCCTCTTAAAGGCCAAGTGAGTTTGGATGTTTTTTCCTTGCAGTTGTGAACTTACTTGAGCAAATTGTTTGTTATGAATTTCTTACAGGCAGGAGTTCAGAGACATTTTTGCTGTTAGTTCCCTGTGTGTCAGTGTACTGTAGTGCACACTGAAATACGTGGCTTTGAAGATGATGGGAGGGAAGAAAGAGGCAGTTTGTAGTGTAGGTGAAAACTGGATGTTGCTGTTCCAAGGATAAGGATTGGGGCTGTACAAAGAAGGTGCTGGAGTGGGGTGGCGATGAAGTAGGTGCTGGAGAGTCAGGCTGCTTCTGCAAATTCCCAGGGGAAGATTGCTGCTTACTATGAATGTGGGGGCCTTTTTCCTTCAGCAGCTGCCACATACGTAATTCATGTGGCACGATGCCTCTTCCTGACAGAAACACCTACTTCTGCTTTGCAGAGTTCACCTGTTGCTAGAGGCAGCAGTGAATCTAAAGCTGTAACGCCCAAGTTGGGAGTTTCCTGGCAAAGACGGAGAGAACCAGGCAGAGGTAGCAACCCCTGATCCATAATTACAGTGTGACTGCACTCTAAGCAAGCTCTGCCTTGTATTTTCAGGATGTAAGCACTCTGCCAAAGAAATATTCACCTGCTTGGTCTGTAGTTTTTACAAGCTACATATATGAAATTCCAGTACTTAGGCTTGTTCTAGAGGCATGTTTACCCCAAAAGCACGCAGGAAACACAGCATAGAAATGAAATAAACACCAGCATCTCTGTGACTGCTACCTTTGTTCATGCTTGAGTACGTTTTTATTAGTTGCAGTGCTAACTGTGTAGGCTTTCATGGTACAATCTATACAGCTGATTAAATTGTAGTAGCTCTTAAAATTTCAAATTCTTCACTGTTGTCGCAGACACACAGTATTTGTGTTTATGCACCTCTACACACACAAGGAATATAGTTGTCTTTAAACATGCAAACCTTGTATTGTAGGGAAATCCCTCAACTGTTACTCTTAAAAACACAGGATCTTTCCTCCTTCCTAAGTAAAAGGTGCAGCATGTGCCCTGGCTGCTTCCAGTTACTGCATGCTCAAACCTCCACATGCCTCTATCCAGGCAGCTGCTAATCACAATAATTAAGTGTGCATTGATCTGTGTCTGCAATCGATAATGTTTATGTGCAGGACAACAGGCACTTGCTATGGTCCATAGTTACTAACAGACAGTAACTCTTTACGTGCAAGAACAAAAATGTTGAGGAAAATGTTTTGTTCCAGCAGTTACTGCTAAACAGCTGATGAATTGTTAAGGGAGAGTGAACAGGCTCCTCGTGTTCCCTTGCCTACAGCATATGCTGCAGAGCAGGCAGGTAGAGCTTAGAGTTAGGGCTGGGCTTTGATTTATTGGCACAGGAGAGAAAATTTTAGCTTCTGAGCTGAGAGAGGAGGAGTTGAAGCAGCTTGATGGCATGATCATCGTTCAGGGGTTCTCTGGTGCATGAATGAGGGTGACAGAGGTGAGCTTTTGCAACCACTTCTCTCTGATGGTTTGTGTGACTGTTGCCAGCAGCATTGTCAAAGCAATATTCTGTTGCACTGTCTCAGTGCTGATGAGAATCATTGTTCTTCCTGAGTATATAAGCCATCACAATGTTACCTGATCACTTCTGAAAGCTGAGTTTACCAGTGCTTTACTTAGTAACTACACAGATTAAAACATGTGAAATGGTTTTTGTCATTCCTATTCATTTTTGGAAAAAAAAAATTCCTGTTTTTTGAAGAAAAAACAGAACCTATCACCAATATGCTGCTTGATTTTGTGGAGAGAAGAAATGCAATCAACAAAATAAAGAACTACTGGAACCATTGCTGTAGCTGAAAATTAAATTAGTTGTTAATTCTTTCATGGATGTAATTCTGGACCCTGCAAATCCCTCCTTAGATATTTTGTCTAAAGTGAGTAAAAATTCATGGCATGGATAAAAGCTTTGTCTATTTTATGAGCAACAGGCAAATGATCCAAATGGTGCTCATAAAGCAAATGGTTCCCAACTCTAGGAGGAGGAGAAATATTTAAAAGCGGCTAGAATGAGCCATGAATAAAATCACCTCCTATTTACTAAAAGGTGTTATTTACATGAAAGTATTTTGATCCCCCTACTCCAAAAGGAGAGAATGACTACTTTTCTCTCTTTAATGATAACAATGATAAAAAATGATTCTGTTTTCCTGGGATGCTTACTGCTGATCACTGTTGAGAGCTGCTGTGGGATGTGTTTTATCAACAGAGATTGAACAAAATAGCTGAGAGTACTTTTAGTGTGCAGGGCCAAGCAGGCAGTGAAGCAGAAAGTACCACATCTGGCCCCTAATATCATGAGGTGAGAAGCTGGTATCTATTAGTGGTTGGGCAATTTCACACAGAGGTTGTAGTCTGGGGGGAGGAAGGAGCAGTGCTTTCTGTGCAAGGGGAGGGATAGCTTTATGTTGCCTGTACTGTCATGGCTCCCATTTGAAACCTTTGTTCATCTCAGAAGCAGCCAGGTGGCTAAAAATTTGGAAACTGTACTGGTTTGATTAGACAAAAAATGAAAAACTTCATTTTGTAGTGGTTTGTCAGGCTCGTTCCTTATTCTGTGTTGGGGATTTTGTTCTTGGCTATATGGTTTGTTGTAGGGGCTTTTTTTGGCTGTGATTTAATAAGTTCCAAGAGCACTATGACATTGAGAACACGGGAATTCTTTCTCATGGCCATGCCTTTTAACTTGCAGTTTTCTGTATCTTTCTCTGTGAAACCAGTGAATGGAAACTGATGTTACTGCCTTGGAAAATGCGAGACTCGTTCCAATAAATTTGGGACAAGTCCTTTGCAGATAAGGAACATGTGTGGTAGTAGTTGCCCAAATAGGCTTGTCATTGGCTTACAAGCTTTATTTAAATGCTAAATGCCATGTATTCTTGTGGTTTTTATGCTGCTTTGCCTGATTAAACATTTAGCTGATAAACCCTGTCAAGACTGTTCAGAGCTACTGCAGTTAAGATTACATATTTACAACCTCTGTATCTGTGGTCAGTTAGAAACAGGACAATTTAAAATCAAAGTAATCTGTGATGGTTTAAATTTTTGAAGTTGCTGACATTATTTTAACAACCTGAAGTTTTGTGTGTAACAGCATGAAATAACATCGTTTATGGTGATTCAGATTCAGAAACAAATTGCTTTATTCTTCCAAATTGCTAGGGGGTGTAAATCTAGAAAGAGAGAATAAGGATTTACCGAAGTAAGGAAAAAGTACAGTCATTAAGGTTGTGTAGCAAATAGTGAGGCAAATGGTGAGTTTTGCCAGCATGGCAAAGACAGCAAAACTCCCTCTTCTCAGCTGCAGAGTATTTCTGGTTTAAACCTTTTTTTGGTAACTCTTACATCACTGTTATATGTGTATCTGGAATACTGCTTAAAAGTGATTCCTCTCCTAGAGGTGCTCAACAGGATAAAATGTGAGAAGGTGGTGTTATTAGTGCTGTAGCTTTTTATTTGTTTATTAATTGTAAGAACTCCAAGTGCTCTCACTCACTTAAGATAATGACTAAAAAGCCAGGGTACAGTTGCATTAATTTTCCTGTCTCAAATGTAGCATAATTACTTTAATGAACACATTAATTTATCCACTTTCCTCATGCTCTTCCTGCTTCACAGTTGTTGCTGTCGCTGGAAACCCAGACAATGATGACCCTCAAGGTTTATAGCTCTCTTCTGAGTTCTCTCTGAGAATTAAATATCCAAGGACTGTGACTTGTCAGGCTCAGGTAGTGCACACTCATGTGTGTCTAGCAAATAAGCAACATCTCGCACCAACATGGGTTTATTATATCACCTGATGTAACGTTGGTGCATTGCCACGGCAGTGAGCATGACAAGCAGGAGCAATAAGATACAGACCAAGTGCAACCATTTGTCTCTCAAAAGCATCTGAGGAAAAAAATGTTTCCTCTTTTGCATCTGTAGTTTGATTTTCTCTGTCTGTGTGCAGAGCACAGTCCTTTTGTCTCTCTTTCTTATTTTTTTTAAAAGCAGAATTAGTTTTTGTGGAAAGGCAAAAATGCTCAGACTGAAATCTAATAACAAATGATAGAGTGTAGTATTTTTCTGCTCAATTTTAAGGAATCACTTTATAATCTTGGAACAGTGGATAACAACATCACTAATCCAATATGTTAACAGTAAATACATTTGATGACAGGAATTGCTACACTAATCTTATATCCCTCCACAGTACAGTTAAGAAATCCACAGGGGGTCTTACTAATCAGTTTTTGCAAAGTAAATCAAGTCATGTAATTCTCACTCCCTCTAAATGCCCAGCAACTGCAGGCAGAACCACGTACAGTGCTTTTTGTTCATCAGATTGTACCCTAATCTTCAGCCACACTTTCCGCTTCAATATGCAAGAAGGAGACTTTTGGAGAGAAATGTCTCCAAACACTCTGACAGAGATGTCTATTCGGTGAGCCGGCAGTTCACCTTGTTCACCTCGCGTGTTG